CCCCCCCCCTTTTTTTGGGTGCAGGGCCGGAATGGTTCCTGTCTTTCCTCCTGCGAGCCTTGGAGGCATACCGTCCGCTGCTGCTGCTGCTGGAGCTGCCGCGCCCGGCCGAAGGAGCGCCGGAGTTGGAGGCGAGAGAAGCTGGCTGGGGAGGGGGGAGCGTGGACCCGTTGGCCTACTTTGCGCGAGGGCTCGCTCTGCTGGCTAGGTGCGTTGGTGTCGACCGAAAACGACGCCTGGCATCACGCCCCCTTGTGACGGTTCTTGAAGCTCGATTCACCGCAAAGAACAAGATGTATTGGTGATTTTTGGCGGCGTTGGAAACGATTACTCTGCTAATTTTTTCTAGGAATCTTTCGTTTCCTGAGAGCTTGTACCGGCGCGGATGAAACTCGGCACGAAAGATTGTTTAGGGGTGGGTGTGTGGGTGAGGTGTGCTTGGCGATGTATATGGTATCGGGGTGTCTCAAATGGCCGATGGGCCGCGGGTGTGGCGAGTGTATGGTGAGTTGCTGTAGTCAGTGTAGGCGCGTGAGTTTGGCAAACGCTTTGTACATGAGGGTGTTTGTGCAGTAACGAGTGTCGATGGAAAGCGCCCTTATCGACCTCCCCTTTCTCTCTCTCTCTCTCTCTCTCTCTTGCTCCCATCGTCTCCGCCGCTGCCTCTCTCTCTCTTTTGCAAACCAACAAACACACACACACACACACACACACACACACACACACACACAAGGCGACGACTACGCGCCCAGCTGGGCGCGGTTGCCGCAGACGAGTCGCTCCTGTCCCACACCGTCGAGGAGGCGCTAGCTTTCGACCGATGCCTGGACCGGGAGGCGGGGTACGCCGAGTGTCCCGCCAGGTTCCCTCGCCAGACGTGGCCGAGGTGAGGTTGAATGATTCCGCTGCTGTCTTCGTTCTTCCATGCACACGTTCGTTTTGAAAATAACAGATATAACATGGTGTTGAATAGAACAAATTGTCAACGTTGGCGCTGACGAAAGATCAAAGGAGTTCTGTTTAGGGAGGAGTTACTGGGTTGAGAAAAAAAAAGAGTTGAGAGATGTCTGAGGCTGATTGGCCTGGCGTTGAGCAAAATAAACAAGTGGAGTCTGACGCTGAGCATGCAGATCAAGAGGTTATCGGTGCCAAGATTATCCGTGGGGGGTCGGCGGCGTTCGTGCTCAGTCGCGGGCGAACGTGTACGTACGTACGTTTGCATGATGATTGTACACATTCACACACGATGCGCCTCCACAACTCGTACTATATTTGAAGTACACGATTGACCTCCACACACGTACGTGAACAGGTGCGTAGAGGTCTTCGCCCAGGGCGAGCAGCGTTTCGAGCGGTGGATGGAGTCGGACGCCAAAGCCGCAAAGGCCAAGCTAGCGGAAGCCGTGGCGTCGCCGGGTGCCTGGAGAGCGGTCGATTGGAAGGTGACAAGTTCGGTTGATCACTGCGGCTTTGTTGTTGGTTTGTGGTTGACGGGATGATACGAGGTGGGGGCAAAAGACGGTTCAATAAAGCGCCGAGGTCAGCGGTAGTGCACGGCATTGAGTTGATTGAATCATCCTCACACAAGGGTTGCGCACAACATCGATAATCACCAACATGTTTGTACTCCACGACACTTTGCCATGATGGCATCACTTTCCTCCCGCCCCCTTCCCTCCCGTGTGCTCGTTTGGCTGGCATGCCCCAAGTAGCCGTAGACTCCCCCCCCGGGGGTCCTCCCCCCCCAGTCCATCGGGGTTGGGTTTTCGTCGCTTGGCAACGACGTTGTAAAACAAGCCGCCCCCCCCGGTGTTTTACCATCGGGGTTGGGTTTTCGTCGCTTGGCAACGACGTTGTAAAACAAGCCGCCCCCCCCGGTGTTT